CATGATCACTATCATCAGCTTCCACTTCAATTGGTGTAGGTGCCACACGAACAACTTCCTGTGCCCTTCTACACACTGGTTGAAGTGATGGTTCAATAACCTCATCAAGTCTCCACCATCCTCCCACTCAATTCTTACGAGAGAAACTATTCCTCGAGAAAGGACCCGTTTCTAGAAACAATCACTTTTGCTTCCGGGTCTGAATTAGGAGGTATACCCAACTGTTTTGGGTGTCCTATGAAGATGTATTTATCCGCTTTGGGTTCGAGCTTATCAGGATGAAACTTTTTCACATAAGCGTCGCAGCCCCAAACTTTCAAGAAACGACAGCTTAGGTTTCTCTAAACCATAGTTCATACGGTGTCATCTCAACGGAATTACGTGGTGCCCTATTTAAAGTGAATGCGGTTGTCTGTAATGCCTAACCCATGAACGATAGTGGTAATTCGATAAGAGACATCATGGTATGCACCATATCCAATAGGGTGCAGCTATGATGTTCGGACACACCATCACACTATGGTGTTCCAGGCGGCATTAGTTGTGAAACAATTTCCACAAGGTCTTAATTGTGTACCAAACTCGTAACTCAGATATTCATCTCTATGATCATGTCATAGACATTTTATCCTCTTGTCACGATGATCTTCAACTTCACTCTGAAATTACTTGAACCTTTCAATAATTCAGACTTGTGTTTCATCTAGTAAATATACTCAGCATCTACTCAAATCATCTATGAAGTAAGAACATAACGATATCCACTGCGTGCCTCAGCACTCATTGGACTGCACACATCAAAATGTGTTACTTTCAACAAGTTGCTTTCTTGTTCTATCTTACTGAAAACGAGGCTTTTCAGTCATCTTGCCCATGTGGTATGATTTGCATGTCTCAAGTGATTCAAAATCAAGTGAGTCCAAACGATCCATCTGCATGGAGTTTCTTCATGCAAACATACTAATAGACATGGTTCACACGTCTCAAACTTTTCAAAAATGAGTGAGTCCAAAAGATCCATCAACATGGAGCTTCTTCATGTGTTTTATACCAATATGACTCAAATGGCAGTGCCACAAGTAGGTGGTACTATCATTCCTATCTTATATCTTTTGGCATGAACATATGTATCACTACGATTGAGATTCAATAAACCATTCATTTTAGGTGCAAGACCATTGAAGGTATTATTCAAATAAACAGAGTAACCATTATTCTCCTTAAATGAATAACCGTATTGCGATAGACATAATCCAATCATGTCTATGCTCAACGCAAACACCAAATAATTATTATTTAGGTTTAACACCGATCCCGATGGTAGAGGGAGCGTGCGATATTTGATCACATCAACCTTGGAAATACTTTCAACACATATCGTCACCTCGCCTTTAGCTAGTCTCGGTTTATTCCGTAGCCTTTTATTTCGAGTTACTAACACTTAGCAACCGAACCGGTATCTATTACCATGGTGCTACTAGGAGTATTAGTAGAGTACACATTAATATAATGTATATCCAATATACTTCTATCGACCTTGCCTGCCTTCTTATCTACCAAGTATCTAGAGTAATTCTGCTCCAGTGACCGTTCCCCTTATTACAGAAGCACTTAGTCTCGGGTTTGGGTTCAACCTTGGGTTTCTTCACTAGAGCAGCAGCTGATTTGCCGTTTCATGAAGTATCCCTTCTTGCCCTTGCCCTTCTTGAAACTAGTGGTTTCACTAACCATCAACAATTGATGCTCCTTCTTGATTTCTACTTTCGCAGCGTCAAACATCGCGAATATTTCAAGGATTATCATATCTATCCCTGATATGTTATAGTTCATCACGAAGCTCTAGTAGCTTGGTGGCAATGACTTTAGAGAAACATCACTATCATATTTGGAAGATTAACTCCCATTCGATTCAAGTGATTGTAGTACCCAGACAGTCTGAGTACAAGCTCAATGATTGAGATTTTCTCCCTTAGTTTGTAGGCTAAGAAAATCGTCGGAGGTCTTATACCTCTTGACGTGGGCACGAGCCTGAAATCCCAATTTCAGCCCTCGAAACATCTCATATGTTCCGCGACGTTTGGAAATCGTCTTCGGTGCCTCAATTCCAAACCGTTTAACATTACTGAACTATCACGTAGTTATCAAAACGTGTATGTCAAATGTTCGCAACATCCACATACGACGTTCGAGGTTCAGCACACCGAGCGGTGCATTAAGGACATAAGCTTTCTATGCAGCAATGAGGACAATCCTCAGTTTACGGACCCAGTCCGCATAATTGCTACTATCAACTTTCAACTAAATTTTCTCTAGGAACATATCTAAAACAGTAGAATTAAAGCGTGAGCTATGACATAATTTGCAAAAACCTTTTGACTATGTTCAGGATAATTAAGTTCATCTTATGAACTCCCACTCAGATAGACATCCCTCTAGTCATCCAAGTGATTACATGATCCGAGTCAACTAGGCCGTGTCCGATCATCACGTGAGACGGACTAGTCATCATCGGTGAACATCTTCATATTGATCGTATCTACCATACGACTCATGCTCGACCTTTCGGTCTCTTGTGTTCCGAGGCCATGTCTGTACATGCTAGGCTCGTCAAGTCAACCTAAGTGTTTCGCATGTGTAAATCTGGCTTACACCCCTTGTATGTGAATGTTAGAATCTATCACATCCGATCATCACGTGGTGCTTCGAAATAACGAACTTCCGCAACGGTGCATAGTTAGGGGGAGCACTTTCTTGAAAATTTAATGAGGGATCGTCTTATTTACTACCGTCGTTCTAAGCAAACAAGATGCATAAACATGATAAACATCACATGCAATCAAAAAGTGACATGATATGGCCAATATCATTTTGCTCCTTCTGATCTCCATCTTCGGGGCTCCATGATCATCATCGTCACCGGCATGACACCATGATCTCCATCATCATGATCTGCATCATCGTGTCTCCATGAAGTTGTCTCGCCAACTATTACTTCTACTACTATGGCTAACGGTTAGCAATGAAGTAAAGTAATTACATGGCGTTATTCAGTGACACGCAGGTCATACAATAAACAAAGACAACTCCTATGGCTCCTGCGGTTGTCATACTCATCGACATGCAAGTCGTGATTCCTATTACAAGAACATGATCAATCTCATACATCACATATCATTCATCACATTCTTTTGGCCATATCACATCACATAGCATACCCTGCAAAAACAAGTTAGACGTCCTCTAATTGTTGTTTGCATGTTTTACGTGGCTGCTATGGGTTTCTAGCAAGAACGTTTCTTACCTACGCAAAAGCCACAACGTGATATGCCAATTGCTATTTACCCTTCATAAGGACCCTTTTCATCGAATCCGATCCGACTAAAGTGGGAGAGACTGGCACCCGCTAGCCACCTTATGCAACAAGTGCATGTCAATCAGTGGAACCTATCTCACGTAAGTGTACGTGTAAGGTCGTTCCGGGCCGCTTCATCCCACAATACCGTCGAAACAAGATAGAACTAGTAACGATAAGCATATTGAACAAAATCAACGCCCGCAACAACTTGTGTTCTACTCGTGCATAGAATCTACGCAATAGACCTAGCTCATGATGCCACTATTGGGGAACGTAGCAGAAATTCAAAATTTTCCTACGAGTCACCAAGATCTATCTATGGAGAGACTAGCAACGAGAGAGAGGAGTGCATCTACATATCCTTGTAGATCGTGAGCGGAAGCATTCAAGAGAACGGGGTTGAGGGAGTCGTACTCATCGTGATCCAAATCACCGAAGATCCTAGTGCCGAACGGATGGCACCTCCGCGTTCAACACACGTGCAGCCCGGTGACGTCTCCCGTGCCTTGATCCAGCAAGGAGAGAGGGAGAGGTTGGGGAAGACTCCGTCCAGTAGCAGCACAACGGCGTGGTGGTGATGGAGGAGCATGACACTCCAGCAGGGCTTCGCCAAGCACCGCAAGAGACGAGGAGGGAGAGAGGTAGGGCTGCGCCTTGGAAGAGTTCATCTCGTGTGTTTTGCAGCCCCCAATACCTAAGTATATATAGGGGAAGGGGAGGGGCTGCACCCCCATCTAGGGTTCCCTTCCTAGGGGTGGCGGTTTCCGGTCAATACAATTATAGCATGAATAATAGACAATTATCATGAACAAGGGAATACAATAATAACCATTTTATTATTGTCTCTAGGGCATATTTCCAACATTGTCCCCCCTCTCATTGGGGTTGTGGGGCGACTAGCTCACGGATTTATTTCTTACCTGTCATGCGTATCTATATGTTGTGTCATTCACATTGTCGATGTCTAGGCTTAGTCGAGCTAGGTGACACAAGCCACTTTTTATCGACATTTGATCGGTTTTTTGTAATAGTTTTCAATATTTGTTTACGTAATGAAGAGGCATAGCTAAGTTGGATATACAAGAGTAGGTATTGCTAGGATGATGGTCCGAACCATTTTTTTTCCAGAAATGATAAGTACCTGACGTCAAGTACGAGCACATGGCAAATTGAACATTTTTATGTCAATTCTAATGACTCAAGTATGATAAGTTAGTTAACAAACACATCAATTTTCTGTCAAAAAATAAACCGAAGCACGAAGTTGCCATCCTTGCTTCACTAAACTTGTCATCGAAAACGTTCGATCCGCCATGTGCTCGTACCTAACGTTCGCGCGTTATCAGATTCCCTTTTTTCTGGAAAATCTGAACTAGTTTTTTTTTGAGGTATTAAATCTGAACCAGTTGCTAACAATCCAACATCTGAGGCCCAAATGGAACAAAAGCCTGCTTATTGTCCCAGAATTCCAGTTCGGCCCATAAACACCCAATCTTCCGCCGCACGCTTCAGAAATCTGGAATGCGCAGGCGACGAGACGAGTAGAGGCGCCTCTGCCAAAACCCTCCCTCCCCTTTTCCCGCTCCCCCAAACGGCCGAAATTTTTCCCCACACGGCCCCCGCTCCGACCACCCCGCGCACGGCGATGGAGGCCGCCGCCGACGACCTCCTCGCGGCCCTCTCCTCCCCGAGCTCCCGCGCCGGCCTCCACTCCCGCTTCGCCGCCTACCTCCAGCCCTTCTCCCCCCACCTGCCCGCCGCCAACCCTAACCCCAAGCCGCCGCCGAAGAGGGCGACGAAGCAGGGCAAGCAGCAGCAGCCGCCCCCCGACGCGGCCGCCCTCCGCTCCCTCGCGAAGCGGTTCCTCCCGTTCCTCTGCCGCGCGCTCCAGCTCCTCCCGCCGCTCCTCCTCCCGAACCCTAGCGCGGGCGGCGACGCGGCGGGCCTCGACGAGCTGCTCGAGATCTACGGCCTCACCCTCGACTGCCTGGCGGCCATCTCGACCTGCCTCGCCGGGAAGCCCTACTCCGTGCTGCTCCAGCGCGGCCGCTTCGTGTGCTGCCTCGAGTCGCGCGGCCGCTACGCCCGCGCCGAGGCGGAGGCTGCCGCCACTCTCGACGCCCTCCGCTGCGCGCTCTCGCCACTGACGGCCGCAAAGCCTTCTCGTGGCGCTGCAATTGTTGCTCCCCTCCTCCCCGAGCCTGGCATTGCAGGAGAGGCTGGCGCGGACCCTGAAGTCACCATCCTTGCGGTTGAGCTCACCGTATGCCTTGCTAATTGTGCCAGCAAGGGCAAGGTGAAGGAAGATGCCTGCTACGAACGTGTTCGTAACCTTGTTGAGCAGCTCCGGCCATGGCTCCGGTGAGATAACGTGCTTTGCCAACTCTGCATTTTTTTACCAAGGAAGCATATACTGTGTGTGACTGAGATTTTGTGTGGTTGCAGGATTCTGACTGAGGGGGCCAGCAAGAAGTATCTCACTCTGCTTGTGAATGCACTGAGCCGCTGTGCCATTTTCCTGGCTGCCGAGTCTTCATTTTTCGACGCTGATCTTGTCCGTGAATTCTGTGTTGCAACCTTAGGGGAGTGTGAGAAGGCACAGCTGATTGAACGCTTGCCCATCGTACGTGTGTCTATCAATTTGATTGCCATTGAACTCAACAAATATAACTTAATTATATTGGTTAATGGTTTTACTGTTTATTCTTATTGAAGGTTGCACGCAAGATCTGTTCTTCTGTGGATTTGAGTTGGGGTGAGAGCACATCGCTTTTGCTTGCCGTGCTTGAGTCTGTTTTACGTGTCAAGGTAATGTACCTCTGAAACATGTTGATTTCACTAAAATTCAGAAGAACATTAAACTATACAAAGTTTAGCGGCAAAAACCGTGACTTGGCTGTACCAAATTATTGTGAAGCTAGAAATATGGTCCCTATATTAGTGAGATTCCTTGCTATGGAGATGTGTGTGTGTGTGTGTGTGTGTGTGTGTGTGTGTGTGTGTGTGTGTGATTAAAAGTGGAATAAGGCTTGTCAATAGTTGGATTTTGCAAATCTATCTTACGAAACATTGTTTCCTGTCCATGGTTTAGACTTCTTTAGACACTGCATTTGTTCTTTAATTTAGGCTGGCTTAAGAAACTGTTCATCCGTGTCATGTAGTAAATTTTGTGCGAGGTACTTACTGTTTTGGTTGCTTAAACCATCTAGTTCCTCCTCCCTGTGACTGAGCAATTTCATGCAGATAAAACACATTGTCTTTCACTAAAATTTAGAAGCACATGATTGTGCCTAAGTTTAGCATTAAAAGTGGTGTCTTGACAACATCACATGATCATGAAGCTTACTTCCGACATTTAAACTATTAGTGTGGTTCCTTGTTTTGGAGATGTGCGGGTGTAACTAGAAGTGAATAAGGCTTGTTAATAGCTGAACTTTGTAAAGTTATCTTAGTAGACGTTGTTACTTGTTTCCAACCTATGGTTTAAACTTCTCTATTGACTGATAGAGTGCCCTTGTTATAATGTCAACCTGTTAGACTCGCATCACTTGAATACATCTTACTATGAGCTGGTGGTACTTATTTTAGTAGTGATACTGAATGTGCTAGATGCCTTGGAGCAGTAGATGCTGTTTAAGTGTCCTGATTCAATATGTTGTTTTAATCTTGAAGCATTCTACCTCCTTGTGATTACTGATGGTGTAAGTCATCTCTACTATTAAAGGGGAGTTTGTTGTTTACATTTCCATCGCATCCACCCTCTCATCGATACATGCCCCTTTCTGCCGATTTTTTTCCCAAACCATGCGATAACCCCGAAATTGTTGTAGTGTAGTATTGTGATTTTTCAGTAAAGATCCTGACCTATAAATATTCACAGCCCGGCTCATACGGGCGAACAATATTTACCCAGAGCCCTGTTGCGACCTCAATGCTCTTCTTGAAGGAGCTTACTTTAGAGCAAAAAAAGGGAATGAAAGTTAGGAAGACTACTGACGTAGGGTGGCGGGTGAGCTCAACCTCGAACCAAACAAGCAATTGACCGGTCCAGCACGGATTGAAATATGAGCCGGTTTGACAGGAAGCTTTTGAAAACGACCACACCTCCTCGTTTCTTGGAAAAAAAATCCCTTGCAAAGCAATCAACAGAAATCAAATAAATCACCAATAGCAAGAAATCCCTTGCAAGAAAACAACAAAATCAACTCATGTAGTTGTATGTACACAATCTCAATCAATCATATCTTTCCTTACCTTTGCTTATGGATTCCCTCCACACAGCAAATCTCAATCTCAACCCAATCAAAATTTCCTACGCCGGACCACTAGAATAAAGTTGCCCCCGTTGCAACACACAGGTATTTAGGTAGTTATGAATAAATGACAATTAAGTCTTGCAAGCAGATTTCTGGTGTACCTCAGTTCTATATATTGTTTGCACCGAGGCAATGAGTTATTTTACCAATAAGACATTGTTAGTTGTTGTAATATCATGCAATTTTTTTTCAGGCCTACTTACCTAAAGCTTTGAACGAGTTCCTAGAGTTTATAGATTATTTTTCTCGGAGTTTTCTTTCAAATAGGGATGTAAATGCTGGTGCTTCAAAACTATTTTATGGACAAGGTGGTTTTTCTTCTGAGGTACATTATGTACTGTTTTTTTTACCAGTGCTCGATGTTAAGTTATACCATAACAGTGCTATTATTGTTTTTGATTAATTAATTTGCTTGCAACTTATAGATTTCCCCGCCCATCGCCTCAGTTCTTCATCTTTATGCTACTGGATTACACTTCAGTAGACAGCAAATGGAAAGCGAAGATCAGCCCTCTATGTCAGTGGATTTTCTCAAGAATGAAAAGAACCTACAAACTTTGAACAATGCACTGGGCACACTAGAACGGATTTTCTGTGCCACTGATGGCAAATCCAGTAAACATGATAATTTGGGTAAATATTCAAGTACACTAACTGATGCCAGGCATCCCAATAAGAAAGACAGTTATAGTTGTTCTCAGTCACGTGAGCATATTAATTTTTTGGCATATTTGGATTCTTTGGAGTTTGTTTGCAAGATACTATTGCAGCCTGCAAATGCAGTTTGGGAGAGCTTCTTCAAAGAAAAAACAGTCCCCACTTCGGGGAAAATGACATGTGTCTTAATGGCACTGAATCAGTTTATTGATTCCAGCCTTTTTGCTTATAGGTAAAGCCCATAAAATTGTACTGTATTATCTCACTGCAATAATCGAGTGATTTCTGATTTTGCAAGCTGTTCTTTTGTGTGTTGTAGCAGTTATACCAAAATGTCTGACGAAGAGAAGGAGAGATTAAATAAAACCTTACTGAGGGCCCTAGTGTCAGCAATCAAAATTTCCTTTGTGACCAAAGAGGCTATCCAGGTACCTAAGTCGCTTGTCCTATACTTGTATTTGAATCTTATTAATAGGAACTCAAGACCATTTAGTCATTTACCACTGGTGTTATTACTTGTGCATCATAGAACCCCTTGATTCAGCCTGTTATTGGTATCATCTTTGGAGCATTTTGTTGCATGTATAAGTTATTATCAATAAACAACTTTGTGTATTCTCCTTTACCAGTCCATTTTGTGGAGAATTGCTGTTAAATCACCGAATTTACTATCTTCTACTACCATCCCTATTAATGCATTTTGCTTTCATAGTCCAGAAGAGCTTGTATTCTATCAATTGTGCCATTTCAAGTACATGGATAAAGCTTGAGGATTTCAAATATTTGATCCCTTCAATTGGTAACATCGGCGTGACACTTTATAATATTGGACATTTTGAAGAGGTACCCTTCTAAGGTGCTGGTCTTTTACTTAAATTTGCTTTTAACTACGGAGTTTTGTACGATTGACTGTTTTAACTGCTTCAGGCACCAAAGGCATTAGAACTATGCTGCCAAGCAACATGGGCACAGATCAGACTTTCTTACTGTAGACTATCAACAAGAACGGAAGGTCACATCATAATTGAGGATCTACCGAAGGATACACTGAAGGATATCATTACAGATGCATTTGCTAGGATAGATAAGATGGTCAACACTCTCCATAGATGTGGCTCAAAAGTGATACGAGATATTGTTGTGAAGAGCTTTTCTGAATTGTTGGCCCATGGTGACACATCAGATTATCACAAAAGCTATTCGGTTCTGATCGAGTCGTGGGTGAAGGTATTGACATAAAAAAACTAGAGAAGCTATCCCACTTCAAACACTTTGCTGATTTGGTTTTGTTTATTTCTTATGCAAACTTTAGATAACACTTAAGGATTTTGCGAATGACCAAAATATGGATAGTGCCCCACTTCTATATCACTCTCTAATGGGCTACCCATCTCCCTTGCCAAAGAAGTTGATAGGCTCAATCTTAGAGCAGGTACCAGATTCTGTTTTGTTAGATTAAAAATAGTGTATCTTTATTTGGATCTCTTTCTGATGCGAAGTGCTTCGTGGACGTGCATTGGTTTTTGCAGGAATTATTAAAATATGGAGAAATGGAATCTCGTGCCACCATGCTCTGCGGAAATATGCAAATAAGAATAATAGATATTCTATTGAATGAACTTTATTGTTCAAAAGAGTACTATCTGGACAGATCAAAAGTTTTAGTTAGAAAGGCACATGCACTCCGTTCATCTGGGGTGCAAAACATAAGCAGGTGTCTTGAGTCCTTATCTGAAGCCATATCTTTACTGGTGAAGCCCTCGCCACCCCCTTCTTGTCCTGTTTTCTTATGTATACCATGGTAGGAAGTATTAGTATTGGTCCAGGAGTCCTATTAGGCTATGTTTCCTTTCCTTATACCCCAAGTCATGTGTAATATATATATGCTCCTTGGGCTACGCAATATAGATAAGTTGCATCATAACATACCACGAGTGAGATCTAAGATCATTTTCTTCCATCGAACCAGCGAAGCATCTTACTGGATTCATCTCGAGGGAATGCGATTGTGATGCATGAATTAGCTATTGCTTACTGCTTGCATGCACATTGTGCGCAGGAAGCCAATCGTGGCGGCAAGGTAACTGCTTCATATCCGAGCTGCATTTAGTTGAGTTCACAAGAATTGCTTGTAGTCAATTGTACTGTTGTACATTAGCTAGAACATGCCTTTCCTTTGTTTGCTCATGGTTATTTGTTATTTTGAATAGGTAATCTTTGATGATGCTAGGAGTGCCGTTGGCTTGTGGTCAAAGATGGGTACTTCTCAGCATTCTTCTCCTGGTGTGATCTTTCAACAGCCATCAGAAACTCTTGTACCACTTCTTTGTTCTCTTGTTGATTTGTTGGCCATGAAGGTAAGTCAAAGCTAAAACTTATTAGGTTTGATAAGATATAACTGTGCCTTTAGCAAGATAATTATGTGTTTTTTGCCCTATATCAGGGTCACTTTGAGCTTCAGTTTGAGCTGTGCAAGCTTATCATAATGATGTGGAAGCAAGAAAATTTACCCATAGAAAAGTTATTATCCATGTTATTTATCAACCGGCGCCTTAATCATGCGTGCTGTCATCTCCCAGTGGACCAGAATTTTTTTTCTTATGTGGCAGAACACCTTGGTGTTGATTGCCGCAATACATTGTTTTGGAGAAACTGTTTCAAAGGAGATTATCCTTCTCTTTCTATGTTTCTTCAGCAGTTGTGGCCTGTTGAATTCTTTTCTCAACCGTGTGAATATTCCCTTGGAAATCAGTTTGGTTTCAATGCTAATGTTGATGGGATTGTTAAAGTTGCATCATCTCTGGTTTCTGAAGTAAGCTCAGTTACTAGCATTGCAAAAATGTAGTTCTTATTGTCCTTTAGTTTTTCTGTTATGCATTTTGTATTGCTTTTTGCAGGTTCCTTTGAATAATCAATCAGCCTATCTGGCTGGCTGGCTGTATTATGATTCGTCAGAAAGACTTCTGTCAAGAGGACAACTTCTCCAGGTAATCATTTTCTCTCTCATCAATTTACTTTGGTGGAAAATCTCCAGCTATTATGAAATTTGCTTGACTGTAGAGCTGCTTTATAGTTTAGCCCCTTGTAATCAGAACAACTCTTTGTTTTGTTTTGCAGGCCATTTCATATGGAAGAGAAGCCCTCCAATTGCGCAAGAAGCTCCTAAAAAAGAAGTTCAAATTTAATTTGGGCAAGTTTGTAATCAAGGAAAGCGAATGTTCTGGTGGGCAAGGCTTTGTTTCACTTGAAGCATGGGGACCAACAATGGCTGAAATTTGGCCAGATTGCACCAGGCCAAGCAGCATGAGAGATTCTTTCCTTACCCCATGGAATGTACTTAAATGTTACCTTGAAAGCATATTACAGGTATGACAATAGTGTGGCATGAGTTAAGTTCAGTACCAGCAAATTGATTGAAAAAGTTGGTGGAATATGTGCACCACCACTAGCCATCTTTAACATAGTAAGATGAGTCCAACCTACTTATGAGTGATGGCTCATGTTGACACTGCTTTGGCTTTTGGCAATATCGCAATCATTTCCATAATGTAAAACATGGTCTCAAGTTGGCTACAGACTTTCTCATATTATTCATGTTTTTTCACTATGTACTCAGGTTGCTCTGATGCATGAGTTGATTGGTGATGGCACCGAAGCAGAAGTTCTATTACGGACAGGAAAGGAGATATCATGTTTCCAAGGATTGCCAATTTTTGCTGTTGTTTTTACATCAGCGTTAGGTACATACATCTAGCGATGATCTGTCTGTTGGTTTATTGTTTTTATTCATCTGTGTTGGTTTTTATTCATTTATCCCTTCTTTCTCATCTTTTAGGTCAACTATACTGCAAGAGACAGCTGTGGGATGCTGCAGAGGGTGAGCTTAAACATGCTAGGGATCTCCTTAAAGAAAATTGTGAATTCATTTCATGTGAGACATGCAGGTTGACTCAAGAGATATCAGTTGATGTGCAAGCTGGGGATCTGTTTTGGAATCAATTTGACAAAGATTTGCAAAAACATTCAACATGCAATTTGTCTCGTGCTTTAGGCATGTACCGATCTGCCATGGAGAAATTGAATGACACCAGTTTGGAATTTTCTGCTGGGTCCTGTTGTAAACTTAATACTAGTTGCATTTTGGGCAACAAAGACTGTATTGCAGAAACCAAGCGTGGAGCTTGTAATCGTGGGAAAAAACCCTTAGCAGCCAAGGATGGAGTGTTACCTCCATGTACTCCTTGTTTGTTGTTCAGTCAAGCACCTATTGACCAGTACAATGAACTTGTGGGATTAAAATCTGAAAGGAAAAACTTGAAGAATGCCGAAAGTGCCCCACCATTGGATGTTAACGTTAAGACATCCAAAACTTCATCACGTTTAGCCAAAGAACAGAATGCGGCAGCTCATTCAAAGACTAGAACCACCCGATCCAGCAAGCGAACTGCACATGTGAAAAGTGAAAAAGATCTAGCTGAACTGAATAGTGAGAATGACATATCTGGGAGCGACAAATTGTCCACAGATGCTTTAGTCTGTGGGAAGCTAAGCTGCTCCCTTGATGGTGTTTACTGCAGCAGAGATGACATATGCAATATGTTTGGGTGTTGGAATTGCCTTTTTGTTAATTCACTCAATTCTGAGTCCATTGAGAATATATTGCAGTTCAGAAAAGACTGCATCCGCCGACGCCATCTTGTGTCTCTTCTGTTAAAAACAGGTACTATTTTTATCCATGTTCTGTCATGTGCCAAACCAATCTGTGATATACTTCAGTTATGAGACACGCAATTGAAGGTTTCACATACCTAAGGAATCTCATTGGTTGGTAACTTGGTGCTTAATTATGTCAAAACTGACCGGCCACAAAAATGCCTGTGAAACAAACAGTAGCCTAAGTTTCTTACGCAAGTTGTACAAGTAGACACTCCCTGAAAGCTCTCACATCACAAATATAGCGCTCCACATTTCTACATGCGATACTTGGAAATGTATGGATCTGTTAGCTTAAGTAGTTTGATCAAATTTGATTTCTTGCTTCTGTAGTTGGGCTACTTGTTGATCATTACTTATTAGTTAAGTTCCTTAATTCTTTCATATTATTCAGTCCTGATGTGCTGCCTTTGCAGCAAGAGCCTTGGGAGCTCAGGGTGGAAAGCATGGAGCTCATGAAGTTCATAGTATCTACTGGCAGTGTATATCATTGTTGTATTTCAGATCTCTTCCTCAAGGTTGTTATAGAACCTATGAGCCTCATTTAATTGGACTAATCATGAATGAAAATACTGGTGATTTTCTTTCTTTAGAGCGTGCGGAAATACTATGTAGTATGAGTTTCTTTTTGTTGAAGGGTTTCCTTTCAGAACAGTCAAGGTTTGTCTAAATCAATTCCCTATTATGCATCAGTCACATGCATAACATTCTGACCGTAGCAGTTCATGACCCTTGCTAAACTGTCATCATCACTATCTGCAGGGATAGTTGCTGCAGCTTCTCTAGTGTACAAACGGCTGATATCGTTTCTTGGTTGCTGAAAGCTTTTGTGTTATCTGGAGAGAGTCCTTCACTTCTTCAGGAGGTCTGTGATATTCTCAAGTCATTCGCTCTCGTAATTTTAAATGCTTAGTTCGTATATCTTTCTACCTCTTTTTGTGAGTGTCTGCTCAAGTCAGGCTATTTTTTCCTTTTGTCGTCAATTATACACTTACTCCTGTCTTTACATCCAACTCCCCTATTGCAGGTTTGCAGGCTACTCACATGCATATTCTTACTCTCAACGATAGATTCCACGGTTCAATTACCTTTGTATTCCAAGGGATCTCTCTCTTTGAATCATTGGGCTGCTTACTTTCATCAAGCTTCTGTTGGAACTCATCTCAATTGCCATTACCTTGCAAGCTTACAGGCATTGCCCAGAAAAACAGATTCGAAGGTTTGTACCACTCCGAAGTTCACAACCAGATTAACACATACTGGCGTACTTCATTTGTTGTAATAATTTCCCCTTCATGTTTTCAGGGTCTTGTTGGAGATTTCGCAAACAAGATAGATGAGGTCCCAAAGTTTCTAAGGTTTAAAATTTTAAATAGTTAACTTGCTGATTTATTGTTTCATATGGTGTATGTACATGTATAATTAAACTACAATTTCGGTATCAGGTTTTCATCGGCAGACATGGAACATCTCGAAAAGCATGTATCAGAATTCTTCAATCAACTTCCTGATGTACCAATTGTGTGCATTAGTATGCTTGGAGGTGATTTTGTGAATGTTCTTGGGGAAGCACTTCTTCTCCCTTCCCTGTTTCCTGCTTGGATGTTGCTCTCAAGGTTTGATTCAACAAACAAGCCTACCACAATGCTTCTACCAGTGGATTCTATTTCAAAAGGTGTGTAGATTGCCTGTTGTGTTGCATAGTCTTATAAGTTAATATTGGGTCTCTTGCACTTTTTATTCACATGCTTATTGTTTGACAGAAGCACATAATGAAGACTCTTCTATCAAAGAACTGGATAATCCAACTAGAGCTTCAGATAAGAATTGGAAGTGCCCTTGGAGCTGCACTATTATAGATTATGTGGCTCCAACTTTCAGAAAGCTACTTGAGGATAACTTTAGATCCCTCTCTGGTGCAATTGATATTCCAAAGGATGGACAAGCAAATGCAGTAAGGTGGTGGTCGGATAGAATGAAGCTCAACAACGACCTTAATGAGATACTGGAGTAAGATTTCTTATGTATGCTACGTGTGCAACTGTAAATATTTTAAGACGGTCTCTAGATATCTTGCTCCGTACATTATTGAAGATTTGCGTTTTCATTATAGGATTATGTTTTAAAAATCAATATTCCTTTGTTCTGATGTCTTTGTTTGCCGTTTTGAACAGAAACATGGAAAAATTGTGGCTAGGACCCTGGAAATATCTTCTGCTGGGGCACCAATCAGCTGACCAACACAGTGAGGCAGTGCTGGAAAATCTAATCACTGGTCTAGAATCAGAATTCAAACTTGAAGCAAATCCGGCGCTCATCAAGGTCATCCTTGGTGGGGTTGCATCAGTGGATGAACTGAAAGAATGTGTTTCTCAGCTTGTATCATATAAAGCTTACTTTGGCAGGGGAGGGTGTTGTGGAAGAGATAGACTTAGAGCCTTCTCTTGCCAGATTGATGCTGAAGCTCTGGTGTCCCTTGAGCATTTATGCAATGGTGTAGTGAATGAGCTGGCCGAGCCAGTTGAGAGAACTCCAGTGATTTTAGTTCTGGATACTGATGTGCAGGTGAGCATTATGATATCCTTATTATTGGTTCTCTCTTCTGTTATTAAAAAGGTCTTTTTGACTCTGTTATAAGTTTTGACGGATGTTCCACCTTACTGATTAGCCACTGGAAGGGATAAATTAAATAAAAGCTGTGTCATCATTTGCATCTACCTTGATGTGATCTAATGTAATTCATTTTTGCGGTAAATAATTAAACAATGGATGAAACAACACTGTAAGGATCTTTCATGGTAAATTTTAGTGTAGCAATATTCTTTAACCTCGAAAGGAAATGTTGTACTGCTAGCTTTCTCGTATTCTTTGTCTAGCAATATTGCCAATAGAAGCTTTTTTTGATCCCCATCATATATCTTCTTTAACCTCTTCTTAAAAATGATTGAGTGCAGATGCTTCCTTGGGAGAACTTGCCTGTCTTAAGGAATCAGGAAATGTACCGCATGCCGTCAGTGAGAAGCATCTTTCTAGCATTGACTAGAAGCACTAATCATCAGAAAGATGCCAGTGTCATAGACCCTCCTTTTCCTGTTATTGACCCTTTCAATGCATTCTATCTGTTGAATCCTGGTGGTGATTTGATCAGCACACAAGAGGAATTTGATCAGTTGTTTAGAAACTACGAGTGGAAGGTAACGATGATCTGTTAATTACTTAGAGATGATGAGAAAATGTGCTGCTTGTTTAAACAACCTTCTCAATGGTGAATATTGCAAAAGAAGAATCCTACACCTGTGTTGTATAAACAATGTAGTCTGGCTTGCGGAAGTGGAACCTTTAGTGTTTTCTTTAAACTCTAGAAATGGTAAATATAAATAGTTGGAAATCTGGTTTCCTGGTAGCTTTTGGTGCAGACTCTACATTTGAGTGTATTGTTAGTTTCAGTAGTCAGGCATGCATCAAGTTTAGCATACTATATATAGATGATGCAACCTGCTGAAACGCTTTGACGTCTGTCACAAGGAAATAAGCCATGTATCCAAGAATGATGCAAGCTAGTTAAAGTATAAATTTGGATTTTTCTTCAAGCAATCACCAGCATATAATTGTGATGCATTGATGCCATGCAGGGAAATGCTGGGGATGCTCCAACAGCTGAAGAGCTTGTCTTGGCCCTGAGGAATCATGATCTTTTTCTCTACTTTGGACATGGAAGTGGTATGCACTATGGTCTATGGATATAAATATTGGTAGTTAAGTCATTTTGCTGGCTTGTATAATGTGCTTGTGTCGGAGTCATTTGAACTTCCACGGCTTCAACCTTCAACCTTTGAAGCCATCAAAGTGTAGCGCATTACCATAATACCCACACTATAGGATGCAAGCTAAAAAACAGTGTCTGGTTCTTCTATGGGCATAGCTACCCGTGTTAAGTTATTTTGTACAAAATGCTCACCAAGCTTCTATTGAACGCTTCCACAGGAACTTTAACTAGTACTCCAAAAGCTTGTCCCTCAAATGGATGTATCTAGCACCAAGTTAGTGCTAGATACATCCATTTGAGGAACAAGCTTGGGACAAGTTTTTTCGGACGGAGGGAGTAGATGACACATACTTTTATAGAACTTATTACTTGTATAGTAGTATAGTGGCAGATGTATCAGTAGGAACTATTGCTTCTGATGCTAGTGCTAACAAATGCCTTCAAGTCTGATGGTTTGATGACCACTTGTGCTATTATTGTTGAGGAATATGAACTCCAAGCACTTAGTACCGTTCAGTATTCAGATACTTTTTATAAACTGGGTACTGCTCAGGTATCTGTTGTACTAACAGAGTGTTCTAACTAGTCTGAGAAAATGTTGCAGGAAGCCAGTATGTCTCTGGAAAGGAAATCGAGAAGTTAGATAATTGTGCAGCTGCTCTCCTCATGGGTTGCAGTAGTGGGACACTTCATTGCAAAGGAGCGTATGCTCCTCAAGGGGCCCCTTTGTCTTATTTATTTGCTGGTTCTCCGTCCGTCATTGCAAATCTCTGGGACGTCTCGGATAAAGATATAGATCGATTTAGTAAAGCACTGCTCAATTCATGGCTGCAAGAAAATGTCACGGCTGCCAAGAATTGCTCTAAGTGTTGCCCTCTGACCCAAGAATTTGAGTCCATGACCATCGCCGCGAAGGACAATGTTAGGTCAAGACGAAAAGGCTCACGAGCTAGGAAGCAACAACAGACAGTAGAGATGGGCGGCAGTAGTAGTTGCTGTAACTGCGGGCACAGGCGAATAGCTTCACATATAAGTGAAGCTAGGCGTGCTTGCAGGCTTCCTCTTATGATCGGTGCATCTCCTGTTTGTTATGGTGTGCCTACTATCATCAGGAAGAAGTAATGGACATGCTGTATTCTAATGGGAGATCATCGTGGACTGCATGCTGTAGTTCTGGGCTTTGAGCCACTGATGCAAACCGAGGGAAGTGCCATGATAGGCTATGCTGTTGTTTGTACTTAGCAGCAGATGCAGAGCTAACAAGATAATGCTGATTGGCTGTTTTTTACCCGGGGACCAGCCCGAAATTTCATCGATTCTGACGAGATTCAGTGCTGTGCCAACACAGGGTATATACGAGTAAAATTATGCTCCGGGAAATCAGTAGCATGTAGAGCAAATGAACCTTGATATGTTGTTAATTTGTTATACATGTGCTTCCAAATGTAATTTTGAGCACATATGTAATCTTATGTTCTGGAAATCAGTAGCATGTAGAGCAACTGAACCAGCCCCAAGGCAACTGCTAACTGTTGTTTGTATTATTTTGTACACTACAGATCTGATTCTTTCTGTTACATTATAATATAGCTGGTTTAATTGTATGTTCTCGTACCGTTGTAGTAGCTTCCATAATATAGCTGGCAAAGTTTTTCTCCTTCAGAAGTCAAGCTTCATAAACTTTGACCAAATTTAAATCAGCTACATCATGATTCATGACTCATGAGACATGTTTTTTTACATGGATTTTGCTACAAATTGATGTCAGTTTTTCTTAGCAAGCATGACAAATCCTTGCCATGTTCAGTTTTTTTGCCAGGAATTGCCTTGCTTCTAAAAAAAACTGCCATCCCCGCAACAATATAATTTTGACATAAAAACCGTTTGATTTGCCATGTTTAAAAATCCAACGCCAGACTTTATTTTTAGATATTCTTGGTCGTTCTCATGTGCTGTATTATGTGAGTGCATCTGCGCATTTCATCGTTCTCATGTCTGCAATTATTCATAGCTTCACCCGGCAGTGCAGTGAGTACTGTATTTAAAACCCAACAGCATGTCACAAGTGAAATACGCTGAACAACGCAATATCCAACACATCAGAGCCACGCACACAACAAAGAACAGCAGCTGGAATAATTGGCCAGAAACAATTGGAAACTACACAAGCCGCACAAGATGGATGCGGCATTTTCCTTTTTCAGCAAAGAATGTGAAAATGATACATGGTTGATGGAAAGCAATGATGAGCTGAGGTTAAGACAAACTACTTTGGTACAATGATCATGAACAAGTAAATTTTGGTTGGAATTGATGAATGCCAGGCACCAGGGAATCAGCTGTGCATGTACTCTGGTGACAGAGAGCCCCTGCCTTCTCAATTAGAATCTAAAAACAGTCTTCCACGGTTCCTACGGCGTCGCCGGCGACGCCTGTCTGATCTAAGCATACCCGCCCCTTCCCCTCCGGCCAGAGCCATGTCATCCTCGTCGTCGCCCTCCAAGGTGAAAGGGTACGGGGTGGTTCCATTGGCGCCACCGCTGCTAACCGCATAACCTTCCTCGGCATCTCCAGGCATGCCACTTGGACTCTGGAGCCTTTGTGTTCGGTGTCGCTGAGCAACTTGACGCATCATGAATATTATCAACCTCCGAGCGTTATCCGCCTCCCGGTCATTGCCACGGTCGTCGTCGTCGCTGTCTTCGTCCTCCAAGTCCGCTCCATCCTCCAGGTCCAACACATAGTCACCCCAAACCACTGCCCTCCCCATTGATGAAGTGACCGTGCTGAGCGCGTCTTCCCTCTCTCTTTCAAACTCGAGCGATCTCCACTTCTGTTCGACGGCAGGATCCACTTCCCTTGGCTGCACAAGAGGGTGCTCCAACTTCACATGCTTGCGGAGTTCCTTGTACGTCCCCACAAACGAGCAGCCATCCTGCATGCATGTTCTCCTTTTTCCGTTCAGATAGCTTCGAGCTGGTTCTACCACAGTCCACCCCTTTACTTTGCCACGACACAATGGGCATGCGAGGTCAATGGACTCGGTCTTCTCGACTGCAGTCAATGGCACAAAGTCCAAGGTACTGCCAACAGTGCTGGCAGGCAGTTCCTCAAGCAATGCCCCCTTGGTGTATGCCTTCTTGAACTGATCGAGGCAATTTGAGTGCCGGTAGCTCGTTCCACACATGTAAGGGCGACAGCCCTTGTCATGAGATGAACAAAGGAGAAGCACAGCATTGTGTGGGTATTCCATGCACACAGAGCAGTTGGCATCTTCCCAGTCCATCTTCTGCACAGCTGGCAGTGCTTTCTTCCGGTTGGCTCCTTTCATTGCCTTCCAGCGGTACGAAGGAATGGGATACGGCGTGGCCCTGAGACGACGAGCCGCATGCCTCTTTGCCCTTGCATTTCTTGCCATTTTCTTGGAAACCTGTCTGGAAAACCATCACTACATGAGCACCGCATAACAGTGTAACTTACGATAAACAGGACGATTAATACTCACTCTGTCCCAAAATAAGTGTCTCAACTTTGTACTAAAAGTTGAGACACTTGTTTTGGGACGGAGGGAGTAAAACATAAAGGAGGGGAGAGATCAGCACCACACCAGGAACATGAACAAACAAAAGAAAGTCCCTTCCAATTATGTTAGTATAGTAACAATCAAAGTCATATGAAGGAGAAAATGATATCAACTCATCCAGCATATTCTCTGCCCCGAATGGTTCAACGGAATAAGCAGCAGGGCAGCAAAGGGGGGTGACAGCATCAAACACAATCAAGTAGACTGGCTACAGGAGCCAATTTCATTAAGTTCTGGGTACTGGGATCATACACTGCCAAGATCATCAGGAGAAAGTTCTACCCTAGAAAGAAAAACGAATACGCAAAGCCAAGCCCTGAAGATTACTTGATCTGCATCACTCATGATGAAGAACACATCATAGATCAAAGTCCACAGAGATAATGTAGAAGGTTGTGAATTGTGTCAAAAGCACACAAGTAATAAAGCTGAAGCATATTACTGATGAAAGTGTATCAACAGATTGCCAATATACATACAACCAAGAAGCACATCAACTTGTAGGCAAATAATCATGTTTATATAACCAAATCGACCCTCCCCCAGATTTAGATTGAGATAAGAACAAACTGTTTAGCAACATTACCACACAATTGCAGCTTTACTCTTGCAACAGCTGTCCTCAAACAGGCAATCAAACTTCAGATCCACAAGAATGGCTAACAAAGCAGCGCATGCACCAGAAGTCACAAATAGACTTTCTGGGATCCAAGTACAGTTGGGTACACGGATAAAGAAACAAGGAGCTGGAACAACCAGGAGCATTGAATAATGAAATACATCAGATGTGATCTACATTCCCCATTAAAAAATCACACCTAAGAGCTAGATAAGACTAGCTAAAGGAGAAAAAACCAGCGACTCACATGGAGCATCTCAGCTCGTCTCAGATCTGCCAGATTAGATGTGAGAAAACAAGGAACAACACATACTACTTTTTTAATTGGAGAGAATCATTTGATACTGCACTTGGGCCAAAGATTCCATCCTTTGAGGACATGCTACGTTACCAGCACACGGAAAGAATATGAAGCAAAGGTGTCTCCTTTAAGTTTCACCTTGCTCCTGGTCCTGCTTACACGATAAATGCAGATTGCGAGCACATGGAAGGAGGTTGGGAAATGATCTCTTTTGCCGCAACTTGTTGTCTTGGACCCAAATCCAGCATTCTCGAGCCAACATTAGCGGCAGAAGGATGCATTTATTTTCCTTCCATGTAAAATAAAAGCACCCTATCCACTCAATGGTGCAGTAGTAACTAAGCAAGATCTGCCTTCCTGCACTTCAGGCGAAGAACTGCATGCCAGAATGCTAACAAATCCGGAGAAGGCAGCCCTGTTGCTTCACTTAAGACTCGTAATTACTCACATTCCTAGGGAAATGAGCATCAAGTTGATCATTTCCAACAGAAAAGAGAAATCCAGACACAACAACAATCGCAATTGCACACCAAATTCATTGATCACGCCATTGTGGCACATGGTTCCAATCTACAGTACACGCAGAGCCAAACACCAAGCAGAAGTGACAAAATTACTGCTTCATCCACTCGCAATTGGCGGAAGAGAAGCCCTCCTTTGCTCGGGTAACTTCAATCTAGGCCAAAGACCCAAGAGATCGTGACCGCAGGCACCCAAATCCTCACTGCCCCGGGCGAAATTCCCACGGAGAGGGTGAATTTTGGTCACCTCATGATAGATCCCCGCCCAGACCGCTGCCGGCAGCGCGCCCACCGGATCACGGCCTGGGCTCCCCAGATACTGCCCCGGGCCGCCTCCTTCCCGCCGGAACCAGCCGCAGAGCACCCGAATCGCCGCCGGGACACCCGAAATTCCCCGGGAAGATGCCGTTTCCCCGCAATTCCCAGCGCAACACGCAAGCAAAACCACGTCCCTCACCACTCCACGCCCCAGAGGAGCAGACCTCACCCCATCCTTCCCAAACCAAAACCACAACCACCAAATCGACCGATAGAAAGCAGAGGCAGAGCAGGGGGCTATAGTTGGATATATACCTAGAGCGCGGCGGGGTCGGCGAGGGGCGCGGGCCCGGGAGGTCCCGGCGGCGGGCAGGCGCGAGGCCGCGGCGGAGTCGGGCACGGCGGGGCGACGACGGCGGGCGCGAGGAGGAGTACGGGGAGGAGTGCAGGGGAACGGAGAGGACAAGGACGCAAGTTATGGAGGCGAACGATTTGCTCGAGGGAAGGGAGAGAGAGAAGAAGAAAAGTGGCGCAAAAAGAAGAGAAAAAAACTGGATAAGGAAAAAAAAAGGAGCGAGGAGAGAGAGAGTTAGAGAGAGAAGGGAAGTTGGGAAATGGACGCAAGGAGGGAGGGAGGGGGAGGAGAGAATGGGCGGTGGACCAAGGGTTGGAGATAGGCAGCCACGTTTGGTTTTTTGTTGCGTTCGCGTTGCAATTACGGCTGGTTTTTGGTGCGGGGGAGGCGTGGGGCGGGTCCGTGGACCGGACCCGTCGCGGGCGGACACGAGGGTCGCGGCGGCGAGGCGGGGCGCGTGGGCGGCGTCCATGCGGGCGGTGAGG